GGTGGAGGCAGGGCGGGGCTGCTGCGCCGGGGGCCCGCCCCCACCCAAGCTCCTCCCTTTCTGTAACCGCGTGGGAGGGCAACCCAGGGCATTCTGGAGTCCCAGCAGAGCTACCGCCCAAGGCTGCCTGGGAGGTAGAAGAAAGCCCGCCTCCACCTTTTCATTTCAACCCACTCCTCTTTTATCATACAAGCTTCTCTCCGTCCTCCCCTCCTCCCTAGGTTCCCCCAACGCCAGCTCTGGATCCCAAAATGGACCTCACCGGTATCTCCATCCCATGCCCTTGCCATCCAGTTCAGTGCTTGTTCCTTCCCTCCAAAACTACCACCCACCCTACCATGTCCATCAGTGTCATCCTCCAATCCCCTGACCTCAAAAAATTCTTTTGGTTCCTTTAGAATGGACCCTACTCTAGTGCCAAGTTAGACATTCATAGTCCTGAAAGGAAGTCCTTTATGTTTTTTTATTTCATGGCCCTGCTCAACCCTACTCCTTCGATTCCATATCTCCCTTGCTTCTCATCCTCTGATCTGGAAAGAAAATCCTTCTTGGAGAAAAAATTTCTTAGTCTGGGAAAGAGAAGAACTAGCATTACGGACCACAGAAGCTATACAGAAACAAAACTTGAAGCCCAGGGGTAGGGCTGGAAAAAAATGGGTAAAGGTCCAAAGAATTACAAGTAATTGGGCTGGGGATGTGGCTCAAGTGGTAGCGTGCTCGACTGGCATGCATGTGGTCCGGGTTCCATCCTCAGCACCACATACAAAGATGTTGTGTCTGCCAATAACTAACTAACTAACTAAATAAATAAATAAATATTAAAATTCTCTCTTAAAAAAACAATAAGGGACTCAGTATCACTAACAGTCAGAAGGAGACGGCTGGAACCCCAAACTTTCTGTGTCTAGTAAATTTCAGAAAGTAGGGCTTTTGTTGTGGAGGAGGGGACAAACAGGAGAAAATCTGACATTTTAAGCATCTACTTATAGGTCAAGTTGTTTCAAACATTACCTCACTAAAACCTTTCAAACCTATAAGAAGTAAGCCTTATGGTGTTTTCAAGTGAGACTTCAGGCCTAGAGAAAAAGTATGTAATTAATCTAAAATAGGTTTGCTGAGAAGAGACCAGACCAATATTTCATCCATCATAGATCCACATGTTTGTGGAAGGAAGGGAAGAAGGAGGGAGTCCTCTCACCAACTGAATGTATTAACTGTCCCTAAGCATAGGGGACATCTGAAAGAAAAAGAAGAGATGCAGTCAGGTTGAGGGCCTGGTCTGGCCTAGTACTCCTTTCTCATCTCACTGCTTCCTCCTCCTAGCTCTCAGGATGTAAGGAGTACCCTGAACTTGGGGTGAAAGAAGAGTAGGTTCAGTTAATGGGAAATTTACAGGACTAAACCCCTAGTGATTCATCTTATTTTGGGTACCTTCAGGATGCCTTCCTACTATACATTCAGCCAGCTGTTTTCTGCAGTGGCTTAGCAGCAGCACTTAAGAGCTAAAAAAGCCCATGATTTTGGTAGAGTCATTTGACACAACACCCACAATATTCAAGGGGCCCACCAGAAGTCCAAAGGTTTTAAATATAGAAGGTATGGTTTTTAGACTGGAACACAGAGATTTACTAGAGACTCAAGAAAAGTAAGAGGAGAGCTGTTATGAAAGGCTAAGGAAGTCAGTGGTATATAGATAGTAAGGGGAAGGAATGACTTAGAACATGCAGAAAAAAACTTCTAGATATTTCTCATCCCAGTGTTTTATACTGCTTTCAATCTAAAAAACCCTGAGTTGGGGGTATAGCTCAGTGGTAGAGAACCTGCCTAGCATGGACAAGGCCCTCAAAAAAAGGTGAGGGAGGAAAAGAAAAGACAAGAAACCCTAATTTACCTCCAGTGCATATGAACATGTTTAGGAGCTGAATAAAGTAGCTTAGAGCTCAAAGTCCAAGAGAGGTGGGGTGGCTTCACAGAAACAGACACAAGGGTTACAGAAAACAATGATTTGAAGAAAGAAAGAGTACTCACCATTCTACCGTGGTGAGGGTCCTGGCTGACTGCTGTCACTATAAGGAAACAGAAGAATGTAAGGGTAAATAGCACCATTGATGTTACCATAGAATCAACAAAACCCACACATCTACCCTTAAATCTCTCTTCAACTCTTATTTTCCTCCCTTACAGAGGATCCAGCCTTTCACAAGTCACTATACCAGACAGAAACAATGGGAGCTACATGGAAAGAAAGCAACAAGTGATCCTGCAGAGTGTGAAGTCAGTCACAAAGTTCTGGAAGTGTCATCCAGACATATTCAGCAGAACTCAAGAGTCCTGACTCCCAGACCAAGAAGCAGAACACTCCAACCCCTGTTCTTTGCAAGAGAACAGAAGAAATGCCAACTCTGAAGACATAAAAGATGTCCAATTAAGACTCACTTTTGGCCCTAGTGGGGGAATCCACAGACTGCTCTGCCAGTCTGAGTCTGGGAGTAGTACCCATTTGACCTCCAGAGTCCAGAGCAGAGGACAAGAGGGAATGGGCCACCACCTGTGATAAGAGAGCAATAGGGCTGGACAAGTCCTGCTGAGTGTACTTAACATCAAGTGAGGTGGAATCTACAGGGCAAAAGACCACAATCTGGGCAAAATCAGGCCAGTCGGGTCTTGGAGTCAGCATCTGTCTAGTGGGTCCAAGTAACGGGGATTTCAAGATGAGGCCTCCTAAACCCACTTAGGGAACCAGAGGTCCGCTGACTCCTTTTTGCCTGCTAAACTCAGGGGCAATGCAGCAGAGTTCCGCAAAAGGCTGCAAGGATAAAAGCCTCCATCTGCGGTCCTGCCTGCCTCGGGGATCACAGTATTCTCTTCCCCAGCCCACCCTCCCTCATGGGGGAGCCCGCAAGCGGCAAGCCAGAGGTGCTGCCTCACCGCCCACTGGCACGCAGCCTCAGAGGAACGGAGAGAGACAAGGGGAAACAAGGACCAAGCCTAGAAGGCCCAGGGCTTCCGCACCTACGGAATAAGGTCCCCAGAGACAGGCCAGGCTGGCAGGGGATTCCAGGTGCCCAGGTTCTAGAGGTGGAGCCTAAAGACTCGGAGGCGGAGCCCGGAATGACAGAAGGCGGGACTCAAGAAAACCGGTGGGGGCCGGGGCGGGGCCCCGGCAAGACGTGGTCCCAGTTCCCAGGCTGGCAGTGCACAGGGCACAGTGACTCACCCAGGCGGTGTCCGCCCGACCCTCCAAGGCAAAGCTCTCACGACTTCCGTCTCCTGCAGCTGCTGAGGCCGCGCAGCTCGAACCCCACCACGGTGTCCCTTTACCCAGCCAATCGCATCTCTGGCCTGTGCCCGCCCTGGCCAATAGCCATGCCAAGTCCCGCCCTGCCCCCACCACGCAGCCGCCGCCCTCACTCTACATTCCCCTTATTGGTCAAATGGGCAGACGCCTTCCTAGCCTTTAACCTATCAGATGCCCAAAGATGAGACTGTACCTGGAGGGAGGAGGCGCGGCGCCGGAGTTCAGACGCGACCAATGGGAAATCACAGCGCGTCCCTGCGGCAGCCAATGAGAAAGCAGTAATACAGAGCTCCTGACTCCTCAGAGGCCGGAAGTGGGGGCGGCTTGTCGCCTACCGGTAGCGCAAATGGGGGCGGTGCCTCGTAGGAGCACTGGCCTTGTAGTCACTTCCGGTGATGACCCCGCCCTAGGGGTATCTCTGAAATATATCCCCTGTGGCGCCTTATTATGTCCAATCTTGTTTGGGTTTCGAGGCGATTATCCAGTCCCAAAGCTGAAATGGGGGTGGGGGGGGGGACGCAGGCTCGAGAGTGGGAAGGGCTGAAAGCCTGAAGCTCGTTCTCCGACTGGTGGCTCTGGTTTTCCCTTTTCCTCTGTCTTGACAGTTTCCTCCAACACTTGTGCCGCCAGTCCTGAGTTCAGATCTCTTACCCGAGAGATAGGAAAACTAGATCTGAGACAGCCACTAACTAGCTGCGGCCTCTTGTCCGTAAAGGAAGAGGGCAACAGGGCATTCCCAAGTACCTAACTCCTTCTCCCCTGGGAACACAGAGCAGTCAAGAAGGACGGAAGGTGGCCGCTGGAGGTCGCCGTGGCCTCGCGATACCACCAACAGAAATGGAGAACTGTTGATGCAGATTGCCAACAAAAATCCTCAACTCTGGAGTGGGCTTTGAATGTATAACACCAGGCCACCGGGCTAAAATATCTCCAAACGTCTTTGTTTACAGAGCATTGAAAACCCCCTCCCCTCCGGTATTGGGGAACAAAACCAAGAAATCATCGGAGCTCTCAAGACAGGTCTTGTGGTCCTGCCTCAGCCTCCGGAGTAGCTGGGATAACAGACGTGGCAACGGTTGCTCCCACCTAGAGCACTGGAACTTTTATTACAGTAAGTTCCAGGAAGACACGAACCTTATTTGTGTCCAATATTTTAACTCCAGGGTCTAGAACAGTGACTGTGGCCGAGCAGATGCTTAGTTTTTGAGTACTGAACTCCTCCAGGACAATGATGGTGCTTTCATTCACTCCCAGCATTTATTATAGTATCTGGTGACTACAGGGCCTTCAGCATTTGTTCAGTGCTTTATCATAGGCTTCCTAGAGCTTAATTCTGCATGTCCCTTTTTCCAAGATGGGGGGAAATAGGAAGTCAGGAGGTTGAGTGCAGTTTATACCTTATGTTTTCCCAAGGGCTGGTATCAAATCCAAAACTGCTATAGAATTGAGGTTACTGTATATAAGAAAGAAACAGGCAGGCCCAGGCCCCAGATAGTACAGTAGGATAGATTTGATCATTAAGATGAAGTAGTCAGGCTATATTTTAAGCAGGGATTGAAATGGGAAAGGGAAATTTTCCCCTCTCTTCCTTCCCTACTACAAGCCACCAGCATCCCCCTCCATCAGGCTTTCAAACTGGGTCCTAGGATCTTGGTTTCCAAGAGGTGGTAAAGATGCAGACAGGGATACCAGAAGCCACATATAGATTTATTAAACTTTATTTCCTCTGAGTCTCTGGGGAGTCAGCAGGGATGTAAGGCGAAGTGGCAGTAGCTGCGGGAGCCTGAGCAGAGCTGGTGCTGGGAGGGCTGGCATGAGCATAAAGAAGAAATTTAAATATCCAGGACTGAAATCCAGTTAATGGGTCTCCTTCATCTGTCTTTGGATCTTGTGTAGCATCTCCTGCATCCGCCGCAGCTGGAATAGGCACATGCATCAAAATGGGGCCTTCTGGAGAGTCCCATGGTATTGGGGAAGTGTCCCCAAGTTCTAATCCTTTGAGTCAGGGCCTTGGTAGCTAGGACATATGATGGAAACTGGGCAGAACCACCAATCAATGTCCCAAATATGCACCAGAGCCAGGAATCTTTCTTTTCCCAAACCAAGAGATACTGAGGTTTATAATTAAACAGGGGACTTCCCAGACTGTCTACCCCTACCACCTCACACTGCTCTCACCTCTTCATCTTTCTCTCGGATTAGCTTCTCGGTTTCTGGATCTGTCCCTGGTGGAACAGCAGGGATGGGGAAATCGGTACCACTCTCACGAGTCAGTTTGCTAAGGGGAAGGGGAAAGGAGGGCTGGTAAGGCTAGGGGATCCCAGCACCAACTTAGGTTGAGCCCAGGGCCTGTAGAGGAATAAAGGAGGGGCTTGGTCTCATCCAAGGCTGCATTTGGGATCCCCCTGCTGGCTTCCAGTCATACTTGCGATTCCGTTCCTTCACCACCAGGCGGGTCATGCTCTGGATGCATTGTGCCCGGTAGTTCTCATAATGTGTCTCCCTGGTCACATCCTTCAGGTCCTGCATGTGGGTGCGCACCAGCATTGTCCTCAGCTTCACAAAGTCACAGTGCCCTGGGTTTTCCACTGCATAGCAAGGCTAGGAGTCAGCCAGGGGCATGCGTAGGGGAGAGATACTAAGTGAAGGAAATACCTTGGTCCCAAGCTCAGTGCTTTACCTTCTACAATGCCCCAGGGGTAGAGTCGGCCCCGAACTCGTCGCCCTCTGGCCTCTACCACAGTGTTGCTGCCAATTACCGCAAAGGGAATGCTTTCCTGAAAGAAGTTAGGGGAGAACCCCCTGTTCTCACCTGTTCCTTTCTACCTCTATCTTCATCTTCTCTGCTTCACTGTAGGAAGCCAGAGTCCTCCTCCTCCCCAGGAGCCTGTCCTTATATAGAAGTCTACTCTCTTCTTCTGCCCAAGAAAAAAAGATGGAAAAGGCATGCCCTGGGATGGCCCCACCTTTAGGGCTTGATCCTGTAATTTGAAGTCCTCATCCTCATCCGAGTCACAATCTGGGAACTGATAGATCTTGATTCCAAAGTGCTCAATCTCCTCACGGATCTGGCAAATAGATGAGGAGCCCACAGTTCTTGGGACAGCATCTTTTCTAGAAGCCCACCTGCTTCCCTCCCCGCCCACCACCAGCTTCCCTCACTTTGCGTTTCTTGCGGTCCACTTCAGGAGGTGTCAGTGTGTCCGCCTTAGCCAAGATAGGCACGATGTTGACCCGCTGATGCAGGGCCTTCATGAATTCAACATCCAATGGCCGGAGCCTGGGGAACAGGAATCTGTGACCACCTGCTAGTGGTAGCCCTGCCCCTGATGCTCTTGGCCTGTTCCCTTGGCAGCACCCGGCGGTGCCAGGAGCCTCAGGCTTGGACCATACCCGTGGCCGTAGGGCGAGATGAAGTACAGGCAGCAGTGCACTCTGTTGTCTTGGATGTTCTTGCGGTTCAGGCCACTCTCATCTCGGAAATACTGCTCAAACTGCTGATCGATGTATTCTGCCACAGGCCTCCAGCTGGGGCAGGGACAGACAAGCAGAGAAACTGTGGGAGTGGGGGCTGCCTAGTGAGCTCTGGGATTGCAAAGAAGTAACCCTTTCCCCTAGTAGTGTTTTCAAGATATTGTTATTCTTTGGTTTGCCTTACTATACCTTCAGAGAGATTCCAGGGTGGGACAGGTGTATATTTCACATGTCCTGATAGAAAATTTTATTGAGTATATGGGCAGAGTTCAATAAATACTAGTTTGATGAAAGAAAAGGGTGCGAGTGACCCAACAAAGCCGTAAGAACAGTAAGATGCTGGAGGCAAACATCAATTGGAAGCCAGGGAAGTCCTACGTCAAGCTAAACCCAGCCTCAGAGCCTTTGCTCATATGGTTCCCACTCTTTCCTCCACCTCTCCAAACCTGCTCCATCCTTAGAGGCTCTATCCAAGAACCACCTCTTCCATGAAGGCTCTTTTAACTATACCAATGTACACTGCTTTCCCCTCCACTACAAAGCTATATATTTACACAAAATGATGTTTCCATCAGTTTTGGATCCCACAGATTATGGCAGTCCCAAAGAGATTATAAAGGAGCTGAAAAATTGCCATCATATTATAGCACCAACGTATTACTCATGTGTTTGTGGTGATGCTGGTATAAACAAACCTACTGTGCTACTTAATAACAATATTGACTCTGTTACTGATTTATATATTTATTATACTATGCTTTTTATCATTATTTTAGTGTATGCCTTCTATTCATTTAAAAAAAAAAAAAGACAGGGAATACAGCTCCTGGGAATACAGGTAGGATGCCTGCCTAGCATATGCAATGCTCTGAGTTTGATCCCAGCACAAAACAAGAGTTTGTTATAAAAAAAAGTTGCTGTGTTATGCCTCATAGATTCATGTTTTTAAGCATCGCTTGATTGCATCAGGAGGTCACATTGAGTGATCGACATATCACCTAGGTTCATGTAAATATGTCCCATGATGCTTGCACAATGATAAAATTACCTGATGGACACATTTCTAAGAATGTATGTCCATAATAAAGTAATGCATGACTATATAAATATTTTTAAGAATTTCAATTTTGGCCTTCTATTATCTAGTGTAATTCTTACTCTCTGTACAGGTAGATATTATGCATTTTGACCATTGTCAGTCTCATTTTATATATAAAAAAATTAAATCCAAAGCAGCTAGGAGACTTGCTCCAGATCAGTTGGCTAGTAAATTCTCTACCCACCTGAGTCCCTGGCTTTCTGACTCCTAGATCAGTGTTTGCCATTATACATTGGCCTGACCCATTTACTGACTTTCATCTGATAGACACCTATGTTAGAGAACTGCTCCCCCATCTCAATCTTCCACCACTACCTACTAGACTGTACACCTCTCAGGCACAGGGACCATTCATATTTGTTCTGCATTTCTTAAAATGTTCAACACAGGCTAGGCACCTAGCATGTGTTTCATAAATTCCTACTGATTGACTAAATGAGTTTATTAAGGTACACTATAGGGCTTAGGCTGTAGCTCAGTGGCAGAGCGTTTGCCTAGCATCTATGAGGCACTGGGTTCAATCCTTAGCACCACATAAAAACAAACAAAATAAAGGCATTCTGTCCTTCTACAAGTACAAAAAAAATTTAAGTTACACTATAAACTGTGATATGGAGATTTTATTATTATTGCAATTGAAGTTATTACTAATATTATCATGGAAGGTAAATAGACTAAAGAAGAAAGCAGTTCTTGCAGGTACTGGTTGGTACTAGAATTTCAAGACAAGTGGTTTGCTGAGACTTACTGCTAGAGTGGGAAGGGTGACGACAATATGGAAATCACTTAACCCCACCAGGAATAAGACCATGTCCCATGAAGTAGCTTAGTGCTGTGGAAAAATATAAGAAACAGCTTTCCCTCAAGGCTTATGAAGTTGAAAAGGAATTGGTTAGCTGGGCTTAAAGTAATGATATGTAGTGATGAAGCACATAATGGAGGGTTCACAGCACAGAAAGGTCTACTAGAATCTGATTAATCTGTGAGGTGTGGGACCTGTGTAGTCACATAGGGACCTGCACTTAGAAGGGTTGATTTGATGTTCTGCTGTTACTATCTTGAAATCCTTAATAAGTTTGAACAACAGGCCCTATAATTGGTTCTTCAATGATCATTACAAAATTTGGTGAGTATGAGTAGCCCTTTACAGTTTCCAATGCACAGGCATCATTCTGGGATGATTTTCAGATCAACTGGTTAAGGTGATAAGGGAAGGTATTTTTCTATTTTTTTTAAATTTCTTTAGTTATAGATGGACACAATGTCTTTATTTTACTTTATGTGGTACTGAGGATCGAACCCAGTGATTCACACATGCTAGGCGCACGCTCTGCCTCTGAGCCCCAGCCACAGCCCTTAATTTTTAATTTTTAAAAAAACTTTTTGCAGATCAATCCCCACTGAACCCTGGTGTGCTTTACCATTGAGCTACATCCCCTGCCCTTTTTATTTTGAGATAGGTTCTCACTAAGTTGCTCTGGCTGGCCTTGAACTTGCAATCTTCCTGCTTCAGTTTCCTGAGTAGCTGGGATTATAGGGGTGCATCACTGTACCAAGAAAGACTAGTATTTTCCAACTTTAAGAAATAAGAATGCAGCTATGCTCAAGATCATGCAAGATTTGAACTGTGAGTCTAGGGCTCCAAGTACCACCTGCCTAACTTTGTTAAAGGTACCAACTTTTCTTTCTTTCTTTCTTTCTTTTTTAATTATTCTCATCTACTCACGTACATCTGACCATTACCTCAGCTTCTCTCCAGTTCACAAAAAAATTAGCTAGGAATGGTGAAGTGTGCATGTGTGTGTGTGTGTGACAAAACTACCTTTTCTTCTGGCAGAGAACCTGGATGGTGCCTGGTAAACAAAGTTCTACCCATTTATTTCCTGTTGCCTCTCCTTCCCTTCAGCCCTCCCTCCGTGCTCCTCCATACCCCTTTCAACAAGACCTTGCATCTAAAAGAAAGATGTTTATTGAGCACCTACTGTGTCAGGCCTTGTGCTTCATGTTTACTTTTTTTGAGGCTCTTCTTTTTTATCTTCTTTTCCCACCGCCATTATAGAATTATAGGTCAGAGTTGAATGTTAGAAATCATCTATTCCAACCCTTTCCCTCTCATTTTACAGAGAAGAAAACAGTTATCCAGTAAGGGGAGTGATATGCTTAAGGTCACAAAACTCTCCCTCTCCTGACAGGTATGGCTATGTGTGCACCTATGTGTGTTTGCAAAGTTAGTGATGGGTCAGGGGCAGCTGAGGTTGTTTTTGGTTAAACATACCACTCTGTGTTGTTGACTGCATCCCCAAAACCTGGTGTGTCCACAATGGTAAGCCGCAGCCTCACACCCTTCTCTTCTATATCCACAGCATGCTTAGTGATCTCCACGGTTTGCATGATCCGTTCTGAAGAAGGGGGAAACTGAGGCAAGGGCAAGGGCAAGGGCAGGGACCTTCCCAGTCAGCACAAACTACCTACCCCAGTCAGCTTTGCTGCCCAGACTGCCTCATCCACTTTGCCCCCCTTCCCACCCACAGGCTGCCTGAGGGCCTGTTCTCTGGGAACCAGCAAGGAGCACATTTCCCAACACAGGAAATGCCGGTGGCTGTTGGCTCTGGCCCCAGCCTTTTCTCTGCTCCCGGCCTTTTTGGATTCCTGGAATCCTTTGGGGGTCAGAGTCTCATTCAAAGAGCAGGATTCTGATCCCTGCCCTGCTTCAGCACCCAAATCTTTAGGGAGCTGGTTGGTGGGATGCCAGGCCAGACAGGCCTTTGGAGGGATGTTGTCAATCTCTCTAGGAGGTCATGGTTTCCGGCATGCTGGGAAGGGCCCCATTCCCTCATCCCCACCCCCGACTCTGTAGTGACTTTAACATCCCAAGACAGGTCTCTCTGCCTGTCTTTATGCTCCTCTCTTTTCCTTACCTTCAGCACTGAGGAGTTTCCGGTCCCGGTATAGATCAGTGAGGAAGAGACTATTGACAAGAGTGGATTTACCCAGGCCAGACTCTCCTGACAGGAGAGAGGACAGAGGCACCAAATCAGAAGGTAAGATCTGTAGCCAAAGGGCAGCTCCACTGGATCAAGGTTTGGTGGGAAAACTGTTTTCTTATCAATCAGGACTAGACTAACCAAACCATGGCATTTTAGAGCTACAAGGAAGCAGAGATCAGCTCATCCAGCTGTCTCATTTGAATGAAGAGAGGCAACAGACTGCCCAAGGTCACACAGAAGGAGCCTACACTACAAAACTCTGGCACTACTTCATTCCCCCCAACATATACATATTTTTGGCCACCAAAGACTCCTAGCTATTTTGCAAAGACTCAGGCATTTGCTGCTTGCTCCTTCTTCCTTACCCATGCCCCTTTATCTCTCTCTCTCTCTCTCTCTCTCACACACACACACACACACACACACATACACACTCCCCACCTAAAAACATCCCTTGCCCAACCCATCCCTGCCCTTTTCTACCTGCCACCATGAGGGTAAAGTCAAAGCCTTTCTTCACAGACTTTCGGTGGACTTGGTTGGGGAGGGTTGCAAAGCCCACATACTCCTTGTCATCCTAGTGGACAGGAAGGCAGAATGCATCAGGGTGAGAGACAAGAGGGGCCCTAGCACCCAGGACCAGTCTTTTCTTTCTTTCTTCTAGATCTTTCCCCAGCCTTAAAGGAGCAGTGCCAGACTCTTGAGTTCTCATCAGAAGCCACCAGCTGGGCCTCCTGCCCCTGCTGAGACTACCAGTTTCCAGTGCTCTTGGGGGCAGACAAGAGAGGAGGGTTGGGACTGACACAGGACAGAAAGAGATCCCAGGTGCATACATATACACATACATGCACATAAACCCCAAGACTGTCTGCCCGCTTCCTGGGTCTTCCTATAGCCACCCACTGAAAGGCAAAGGCAGGGCTGAAGTCTCTACCTCAGAGGAATCATAGGGATCAAGCCTGCCCCATGGGCTGCGGGGCCGGGTGCAGGGGCTGAGAGGGGCTGGGGCACAGAAGTACTGCTGGCTGTCAGAGGACTGGGGCCACAAGGGGGGTCTGAACTCCAGGTCATCATCATAGAAGTCTGGGGCCTGGGGCCTTGGCTCCGAGATTGGGGGCCTGGACACCCTGGTTCTGGCCTCCGGTGAGTGGCAGCGCTCGCTTCCTGGGAAGTCCTTCACGAACTTGCTCAGTTCTGCATCATCCGTGGTGTCCTCCAGGAAATGCTTGATCTGGAGGACGTGGGTTGGAGGTAGTGGGGTGGGGAGATGGAGTAGGTGGGAGGCGGCAGGAGGGAACCGGAAGGGAAGAACAAGGAAGAAGGCAGACATAGGAGGTGAGAAGGAGAGGGGAGAGGCACTCGTGGTTAGAAGGGAAAGAACTTGGCAGCCAGGCCTTACCTTCTCACCAGTATCCCCAAGCTAAGACATGGGGAAGGACCCCAGGGTCCAGGAGGATCCCTAGGCAGCCTCCAAAGCCCTGCTCTCCAGTTTTGGAGCTCCCTTTCAGCAGGATGTTTGTTGAGGCTGCCCTTTCTGGGGGTCTGGACAAGCCAGGATCCAGGGACTGTCCCAAAGGCCAGGAAGTTAAATTGAATAAGAGGGAGAACACTGTGGCTGAGGACTCAAGGAGAGAGTCAGAAGGCTAGGGGCACAGGGAATTAGGACAGAAAGAAAGGAGCTGCCTCCCAAGCAGGTCAATAACCAGCAGGAGGTTCTGTGTCTGTCACTGCTAGTCAGTAAGCTGGGAAAACCCAGGTAAGGATTCTACCCTGGGTTCTTACTCTCCAGGGTTCAGTGCCCAGAGTTCAATCCTGCTGACCCTACTCTTACTCCAGATGCAAAACCACACCAGAATCTGGCCCTGGACCCCAGGAGAGAAGAAAAAACCTACCAGTGGATGCTGAATATGGACAGAGGGCAGCCAAGAGGGACCAAGTGAGAGGTTGGGAGGACATTGGAAGAGCCTGGAAGGATGGCTGGACCTCTAAGACTGCTGACGGCCCCCAAATGAGAGGAACATCTAGGGAAACCCCTCAGTAGTCACAGTGTGGTGGTAGGCAGAGAATGGAGTGGCTCCTCTATAGAAGCCAGTTCCACTCCACCCCCAGCTTGGGAGATGGGCAGCTCCCCCTCAGCTCTAGACCCTATATCTTCCCCTCTCTCCTTTGGGGGTCAACGTCCTTTGTGGAGTGCCTGGCAGTGCTGGGCTCAGCTCTGCCTCACAACACCCACGTGCCACCCCCAGACAATGGACAACGGCCGGCTGCAGAAGCTGACTCACCCTCTGGGGGTTGGCCAAGCCAAGGGGGCTACCCTGGACCACTGTGGAGTCCCAGGCAAAGTGAAGGAGATAAGATGGTCAGAGTCTTCCTGCATAGCTCCATTTTACAAAGGGATGAAATGAAAGAGGCAGATGTGCACACTGTCAGTTTATGCCAGACAGAAAGGACTAGGAAAGGGAAGCTGGAAGGAAAAGTCTCCTAAGAGTTAACTTTCAGGCGTCACCTCTCATCCCCATACCTGCTGATAACAAACTTTGGAGCGTGCCTGGACAGAAGGGTGGAAAGAGACCCTTTAGCCTGAAACTAGAACTGGCATGTGGAGGTTTAGTGATCACAAGAGGCAATCCTAAGGCAGGCCTGATATTTATGAGATCTGTTGGGTTAACTATACAACCCCTTATATGCTTATTGGTCTCGCATAATGATTTAATTGTGTCCCTTTTCACTCTCAAAATTATCCCAGCTTGAACAATTAATGATACAGCAACAGAGAAGGAATGGGGCTTGAGGGATAGCATGTCCTGTTGTCTGGCAGCTAATGAGTCTGGGGAATTCCAGGAAACGTTGTCTTTCTACACAGCCCCACAGTGCCCTAGCAGTTGGTCTGGGGATTGGCTAAGGATGGGAGAGAGAACTCTGCTCAGTGGGTACTGAGCAGAGGGGCAACAGAAAAGGGAAAAGGGAAGGTGCTGATGGAGAGCCCTGTCCCCCCACAATCTTCCAGCAGAGACACCAGGAACTCGGCACTGTCCTCTCTGACAGCCTTGGCTATGCTTCAGCATGGAGGAAGCCAAAGGGCTCTAGCCAAAGAGTCACAACACTAGGATCCTCACCTCCCATCTGTCCACACCCCCCAACTCTGCCACTGAATTTGAGCATTACTCCCAGTTAAGGCAGAGGGAAGTCAAGTCAGGTCCACCCAACTCCCAGAGCAGCATCTTACCCCAGCTTCAGTCCCATCCTCAGGGACAGAATTCCCTTGCCATCCCAGTGAACGGTCCATGCCCCACACTTCAGACTCCCTGTCAGCAAGCTCTAGGTCTAATTTTATCTCCCAGGCAAAGTTCCTCACACACAGAAACAGCCTTGTCTTGATGCTCTTGTTGTCATCTGGCTTCCGGACTTGCTCCTTTCCCTTTTTCTTTGACCTCCCTCTGTCTCTGGCAGGGGCCAAAAAAGTCTGTGGAATGTCCTACCCCACTCCCTCCTCCTCCTCCCCTTCCCTTGGCTCCCACCCTCCAAGGGCAGCTCAGCTGCAGCAGGATCACTTGGTTCCTCTGCAGTCCCCTCCTCCTCTGATTGGCTGCCCCATGACGCCTGCTCGCTGACTGCCCTGGTGGGCACAGCACCAACCTCCCAAGTCTATCTGCAGCACAGACTCTTGATCCACTTGGCCTCTTCTGTTAACCCCCAAGGACCGTGATGCTTGCCTGAAGACTATGAACTGTCCCCCAAGGTGACCTGACCCACCAGTACACCCAGGACAGTCACCCAGGAAACCTATTCCCAACTCCACCCCCCATCTCTCACCTTAAGCAGTGCTGAAGTAGGGTAGAATATCCAATGATCCTCTGAGTATAAGTTCCAGGGGTCTTCCCAAGTGTTCCTTTGTTTTCTCCCAGCAGGAGAAATTGCTATCCCACTGTCTTAGAAAATGTGCTCCTAGATTTGCCTGCAGAGAATCTCAGCCACAGAAGCAGCTTGGCTCCAGGGACTCTGACTACCCTAGTATACCTGACCTCTCACTTAGGAGGATGGGTATCAATTCTATCATCCCATCATTCTCACAAAATGAGAGAGCTGCTAGCACTTGGTCTCTGAGGGGTATGGGTTCAAGCATATGGGAAACTGACATTCCAGAGGCTCAAGAGCTGCCATTTAGGTGGGAGATGAATTGAGGGGTCTGGGTGGCAGTGTACAAATGGAGCACTCCACTAGGAGTCAGAAGGCCAGTGTTTCTGGTTGGGCTGGAAACACCCCCTTGTGAGTCTTAATAGTGTCTTTAATTTCAGGGTCTTAATGTCCAACTGTGAATGGCCCTTCCTTGCCTCCCAGGGAGACTGGGGAGAGAAATCATTCTGAGATACCTCAAGCTGCTTTGAACCTGAGAGAAGTAGTACTCACGTCCCAGTATAGTCATTAATGTTGATCTGTCATTCTTTTCACATGTAAATGTAAATTCCCTGGGGCTGCTGGGCTGGGGAGTTCTCTACACTGATTCCCAAAGCAGCTAGGACACCATCCTCCTTTCACAAGGAGACCCTCATAGAGGACTGTGGCCTGACATGAACCAGTAGTCAGCCTAAGGACTTGGCTAGCTTAAGGGCAGGGGCCTGAGACTGGAGACTTTGTTGGTGGTGGTGTCTCTAATTAGAAAAGAACAGGGTGGCCTCAGCCAAACTGAAAGCACCAAGACCTTAGCTGAACTGAACTTGGTGTGTAACAGAAAAAGTCCCTCTGGTCCCTGCTGGGCTTGGCACTGGGGATAAACAGTGTCTCCCCAGGCTTCCATCCCTGGAACAATCAGCCTGTCCATCCCCCAGTGGGGAAAAGGAGTAGAGCCAGGATCAGGACAGGCACCACTTAGCCTTTCCAAGGAACCCTCTTTGGGGAAGGTTATAGGGTCACCAAGACTTCCTGTCCAAGCCTTGGGCCTCCGCCTGGACACAGCTTGAGAGACAAGAGCCCAAAAGGTTGGCCTTTCTAAACCTGAAAGCTTCTGATTCCACAGGATGCAGGGAGTTTCCCTCTGGTGGCTGCCCTCAGCCAACATCCTGCCCCACAGGGTGGTCAAGAATCCTCTCCTGCTGTAAACAGCTTGTGCCTCCCAAAGCAGAGGGCAAAGACTGGGAGGCTTCCAGACTGGGAAAGATGGATGTGGCCTGGAGGCCCAGACACGCACAGGCTGTGTTTGTGGCAGGTTCTGGCAACAATGTCAAGAAAAGAGCTGGCTTTCTCACAACCAAGCATCAAAACCTCCTACCTGGGAACCTCTAAGAAGGCTGGCTGGGGTTACTGCTTCTCTTCCCACTACAGGCAGGTGGCAGGAATGAGTCCCCCCCAACCCCCACACACTGCAGAAGGACCTAGTTGGGGAGGGGGTGGGGGTAGGTGCAGCGGAGGAAGCTTCCCCACTGTTCCTGTCTGGGAGGCAAATGATACAGCTGATCCCACCCCACGGGATGGTGGGGTGGGCTTTCCTCTCAGGTGTTCAGGTGTTTCTTTGAGAAAGGGGCTGCCAGGTTTTGGAAAGGAGGGACCAAGAGTCTCACCATCCCTTTTAGGATGCTGGCAGTTTTGTGGATCTCCTCTATGTTTTCCAAAGGAAGTTGGTGCTAGCTTCTGCGCTCCCGGTAGATGAGTGAGGAAGGATCATCTAGGTAACAGATGACTCAGGCAAGGGCGGAGACCCTCACCACCCTCATCGCTGACGCGCCTTCCCCAGAACAACATGCTGGTCTCTATCGCGGGCATCTCCCACAACACAGACCCACTCCTTCCTCTAAGACCAAGGGCAACTCGTCGGGGGTCGCGGCCTGTTTGGTAGCTGCTTGGCTTGGGGGGAGAAACTTGGGAACGGCGACGCAGCGCCACCCGCTAACAGTGCCTGCCCGAGCCTGGAGCTGGCGACAGCTCCTCTCGCCCCGCACAGCCCAGGCTGCAGCGCCGCGGGTCTCCTCGGAGCCGCCCGGGAGCGGCGGGCCCTGAGCGCCCTGGCCCTGCCCTGCACCCGCCGGTCTTACCATGGCTGCAGCCCGGGCCGGGCCGGCTCCGCCTGGACAGCGCCCGAGCGACCCGCGGATGGAGCTGCGCGCGGACCTCACCGCACCGCCTGCCCCCACTTGCCTCCCCGAGTCCCGACCGCTTGGGGCGGGGCGAGTCAGCGGGGGCGGGGCGAGTCGGGCCCCGGGAGGGGCCTGCACCTCAGCGGTGGGTGCCCGCGCGAACGAGGCTTGGGGCGCCAGCCATCCCCTGAAGCATAGAGCAGGGTGGAGGCCTCTGCTCCTTGACCCTGGGCTACATTGGCTACCTGGCTTTTTCTTAATCCTTGGAGTGGCTTCTTTGGACAGCTCAGGACCCCGGGAATTTAAACCAGTACCCAAAAAGAAAGCAACAACCACCTAGCATCCCTAGAAGGAGATGCCTTTGCAAAGGGAGGAGGAGTTGCCATAAGAGTTGGAGAGAACATTTGGTCACCCCAGGGATTCATCAAAGTGTTATGGAAGTTGACTGATTTCCAAGTTACTGATTGTCCATACCCTCACCACACCTCCTAAAGGGGAATGTCAAAACATTCTCCAGCTCCATCCAAGCTGTGGAAAAGACAGGTTAGCAGTAAATTCCCTTTGTACAGGACCTCAGATTAGAGATTAAAGAGGATTTACTGCAGAAATTATCCAGGGATCATCTGCTGGAAGGCTAGAAGGGGGAGGCTGAGTGGCTTTAATAGGGCATTGGAGCCTTGCCTAGAGCTGAGGAAAGCTGGAAGGGCCTCTGGGGGAGGCCAGCCTAGGCATGACCCAGGCTCAGCTGGACCATACTTCCTCTGACAAGCAGGTGAGATGCTGTAGGACAGATGCTTCAGCATCTTTAAAAGCATTAGAAGCTCAGAAGTGCCAGAGCAACAGCTAGAGAGAGGTACATGCTTGGAGGTGGGGAGTTGGTGAGGTCCAAAAGCATCCCCCTCAGACTCCAAAAGCCCTCCTACAAGGACAGGCTGACTGGCCTTTGCCTGTATTTGTTCTGGACAAAACTGAGCCCCATAGGTATGGCGCTCTCTATGGGTGGAAGTGTCAGATGCCTGCCTATCTTATTTCTATCTGATCTGTGAGCTACTGGCCTCAATTGAGACCAGTCAGTATTCAGTCAAGGGAGGAACAGCAGATAAAATCCGGCTCTGGAAAACATGGAACTGCTGTAGGAGATATGACTGGATATTTGGCACTGGTGAACTGGGAGATTAAGAGAGGTTGTTGCTTAAACACATCAGAAGCAAATATTCATTAACCAGAAGTTGAGGAGAAAAACTCCTAGTAGTTGGGCAACCATGAGCACCTCACTTCACCTCTCAGGCTCTTAGTTCCTCCTGAAAATAAGGGGAATTAAACTAGATTATTTTTAAGTTTCCTTGCAATTTCTGGCATTCTAAAAGTAGATTTAATGAAGAAGGAGGGTATGCTGTAGGCCTTGGAGGAAGAAAGCAAGGTAACAGAAGGAGATACTAAAGAAAACTTGGACTTGAAGAGACTCAGATGGCTCTGGAAGCATAGGAAAATGGGGATCTACAGCTTGACTCCAGTGAGAAGGGACCTCTGAAGTTCTAGAGAGGCTCCCAGAAAAGGCCTGGGGTAGACCCAGGAGATCTGAAGCTTACTCAGGAGGACAAAAGACCTAAAGAGATAATCAATGGCTGTTAGAGGTCTGCAGAAGCAGTAGTGGCTACTGCCATCAGATCCAACGGTCATGAGACCCCACTGTTCAAAGCCCTAGTCCCCTATTACTGATGCAGGTACATTTATCTTGGATAAATTCTACTTTTATGAGTAACTATAACATACCAATTTTTAAAAATGAATTATTAGAAGGATCAACAGAGGTGAGGCCAGGGATTGGAGGAGGGAGGAGAAGAGGCAAAGGAGTGGCACCAGGGATTGAAATTGAGCAAATTATGTTATATAATTTATTATTATAAATAATAATTTATAGTATTATTAATAATTTATAGTATTATTTAATTTATAATTAATATTATTATATATAACCCTATATTCATGAATATGTTAAAACTGAGCCCCTCAATTATGTAAAACTATAATGCACAAAAATAAAAAAGAAGAATACCTCTTGGGTGCTTCCAATCAGTAGTCTGTTACTTGAGGTGGGGAGGAAAAGAAGGCAGCCCCATCAGAGAGTCTTATTTTCCTTTATCATAAGAACCTTCCTCCTCAGAACTCAAGCTGTATTTAAAATGTGGACACAGAAACAGCTCAAAAGGCAGCTCAATGCCTAACATTCAGAAGACCCTGGGTTCTCATCCTCACCTGTGCTGGAATCCTCACTCCTCTCTGGCACCCACTGCTCAGGCTCCAGAAAGCCCTGCGTCCAAAGGCATGATGGTGCCAGCTTGCCTTGAGAGAGGTGAGGCCCTAAGAGAGGACTAAGACCATGGAACTTAGCTTCAAGCCAAGAATCTTGGGGTTTGAGTCTCTTTCTAACCACGGTACCAGAGGTCTAACATAAGACATGCTGGATGAAATAAAAGCTGCAAATAGACTTGAGCCATTCTACCTGCACAGCCCCAGTATGCTAGCCTTGTAGCATTTAGAGAGTTCTCAGAGAAGTTGGCCTTGGCATATGTCCCCATGCCAGCTTGGACTGTTAACATCACTGCCTAAAAGTCCTTTTCCCTGCCTGGGCCCATTTCCCTCAGTGAAAGAGGCCGAACTCCCCCAACTCCAGCCCTCTTGCTCCATGTTGCTGGAGTTCCCATACCTGATCTGAAGCAGGGCCGACTTAAAGCAGCCCTCCTATAAGTGGTTGATGACAGAGTGCCTTCCCACCTCTAGCCGGCAGGTGGCCTAGCCAAATTTGCCTCAGCACAACTCAGCTCTGACTTTTCCTTGATATTTAACATCCCACCAGGCGTTAATGTCCTTGTACAATTTCTCAGGCACTGCTAGGGTGGTGAGCCAAATGTTTGGGGAGTAGCTGCTTAGCTTAGCAAAAAGGGTGACTCCTCTGGTAAACTCAAGTAACCACAGCTCCTGCATGTTGTTGTGACTCCTTTATTTAGGGCACGCCAACATGGTCTGTATGGAAAACCTCCCAGCCCCCTCTACTGGGTCTTTCCTGACCACACATGGCAAAGGTTGTGTGGCACAGGTGCTAATAAGCAAGGAGACTGCACTCAGACCAAGCCAGGGTCAAGGTTCAGGCCAAGAATAAAGACGGATTACCACAGGAAATCAGGATTTCAGATCTGCATGACTAGCAAAAGACTACTTTTGCCTCTCAGTAGCTGTTTTCTTTAAGTGGTGCAAGAACTAATTGTACCTCCCTTCCCCCAGAGGTGGATGAGTCACTGATGATATAGTCAGAGAGCCCTAGAGGGGTGGGGGCAAAAGGCCATCACTAGGTTGTGTCTTTTTTTTTTTTTTTTTGAATATTTATTTTTAGTTTTTGGTGGACACAATATCTTTGTTGGTATGTGGTGCTGAGGATCGAACCCTGGCCGCACGCAGGCCAGGCGAGCACGCTACCACCTGAGCCACATCCCCAGCCCTAGCCCTAGGTTGTGTCTTTTAAGGAAAGCTCAGCCAGTCTGTTCAGCAAGGTCTGTGAAGAAGGAAAAAATCAAAATATCTTAAGAATTGTATTTCTTGGTTCCTGCTGAACAGTCACAGAGAGGCGTTCCAAAGGTGGCAGGTTGCTGAAAGTCAGCCACCCTGATAGGGCATGTTCTTCTAACACCCACCCTAGGCAGGGTAGGAGCTCAGAGCTGGAGGGACTTGCAAATCTCCTTGTGACTATTTAACTGACTCTCCTCATGAACTTCCTTATCTTTCCTGCCTCCATCTGAATACCTCCCGTGGCCAACTAACAACATTGGACTTCAACATTTGGGCAGCTGAGTTCTAAGGTCTTTCTCAAAACTAAGCCAAAATCTGTGTCCCCCTGTCTTTTACCCTCCAAGTGTTTCCATACTAGAAGCTTTGCTGACTCATTTCATTGAACTTTGCTTTGTCCTTGGATGTCCACACCCTCTCAAGTGACCCATCTATGTACTCTTCTCTCGTAAATTAATCATAAGCCCCTCAAGGGCAGGAGCCTGTCTTCTATTTTAACCTCTATTCATTTCAATCCAGGGAACATGATGTCAACATGTGATGTGATGTCTGCCCTAGTAACCAGGTCCCTGCCCCCAAGAGTTGACTGATCAATATGAACTCACTAAAAGGATGCATTGATTAGTGTTCCATTCTGACTTTTTAGAGCGGGACAAGCCTTGAGGCTGTGGGCTTCATTGACCCATCACTTGCCCTTAATTCCGGCTGCTTTCAAGTTCATGCCCACCTTCCGGGCTCGTAATTCACATGCAAGTAAATGGATGTTGCTCCCACTAAAACCATCCTCTTTGTAGTTTTTAAAAATATTTATTGTCAATGGACCTTTATTTTATTCATTTATATGCAGTACTGAGAATTGAACTCACTGCCTCACACATGCTTGCCAGGCAAGCATTCTACCACTGACTGAGCCACAACCTCAGCCCCTCATAATTCTTGATATTGTTGAGAATTATTTTGGGCAGGCCAACATGGTCTGTATGGGAAGTTATTTTGCCAGGAAGATATGGCTACACAAGAAAGATTTCTCTACCACATACTTGAAACTCTGGGGCAAGATCTTCTTAAAGAGCTTCCAACTTTGAACAAATCCTGAGCCTCAGTTTTTTCATATATCAAATAGGTAAAGGTATACCTCAGAGATTGCTGTAAAAATTCACTAACACATTTAACAAGGTATAATCACCAAAATGAATGGTAGCTATTATCTCAGCTCTTGGGAAAATTATCTACACCAAACCAGCCACTGTCAACTGATTTTTTTCAAATGCCTTCTCTCCTGAGGATTAGGAATGTGCATGTATAATGGTTGTAGACAGATGGGAGGAGAGAGAATAATTGAGTAATTCCTCAGACTAAGGTGACAATGGAATGACCATGCTCTTGGCTCCCATGGAGTCAGCTTTTCCAGTTGGACACCACTCCATCTCTAGAAAGCAGGTCTTGGTCTCAGACCTACTAACCCAAATTCCTGAAGACAGCCACTATGGAGACCCCATGGAGCTAGATGACTTTGCCTGTGGTTAGTGTGCCAAACAAGGCAGAGACTTTGGCTGGCCCAGTCCTCTTACTCAGTTTCAGAGGCTGGACATTTCTCAGGAACTGCCTCACATTCTGTTCCCCTCCTCCAGCCTTCATTCAGCCCCCAAGGTGCAGCTGTCTCTTGCTGTTCCCCTCACAGCAGCTGAGACAAAAGCAGCTGAGCAGAGGAGGGTGAAGGGACATGGCCATTTCTGCCACTTAGGAAAGCCTTCTTCTGCTGAGCAGCTGTTGGGGTGGCTTCTGGGTTATGGATTACCCAAGTATGTACTCTACCCTCTAAAGCCAACCTCCATAATTCACCCATGCCTACTATTCTTCCTCTGACTGGAAAAATCCACCATTTCAAACACCACCAAAGTACTCTTATGAAAAGATATCATGTTGGAGATGGATTCCAGTCAGGAAAGCAAGTAGCTTCTGAAAATATACCAGAAAGTTCAAAGTAGATATGGCAAGTTCTTTCCTATGTGAAATTTTTCTGGACAGAACAAAGAACAAAGGGAGTGTGTCCTCCCTTTTGCCATCAAACCCGAGAGGAAGGCAACACATTTTCCTCTGTCCATTTCATAGGCAAAAAAGGAGGGACCTACCTGTCCAGATCTCACAGTGAATTCAGGAAATCATTTCCCTTGCCCTGTGCTTCCAGGGATTCTTGTTGAGGTAAACCACAGCTTGTCCCAGTCCCAATGACTTAACTGTCATGGGGTGCCCAAGACTGAAAGGATCCTTGGAACACAGGACTTTCAGTGCTAAACCCCTATGAATTAATTGTTCCACCTTGCCTATCCCCAAATTAGCAAGTCATGGCCAAAGGTCACCAGACTTTGTCCTGCTCTGGAGTTAGCAAGCCATGGAAGCTGGAGATGATCAAGGTATCATCTGACTGGATGAGATGGCTGCTTCCTAGGAAGTTGCGAGGTAGGGTCAAGCTATTATGAAAAGCCTCCTGTGATGTTCTGCCCCATTTTCAGCCTTTCTTTCAACAATTCCCTTTCCTCTCAATTATGATCCTCTATACAAAGCAAAGGTAATGGGAGAGGTGAGAAAAAACAGTCTACAAGGTTGCTTTCAGACAGCCACATCCTAGAATTGTTACCATCCCCATGAATGCAGACTCATTCCAGGACCCTCCAAGGCTTTGAGGTTTTCTGTATAAACAAAGTGCCCCTCAGCAAAACTTCCCAGTAATTCAGGAGTCAAAAAGAGGCTGACTGTCCAGTCCCTCGGGGGTCAAATGACATGTTATCTTAAAGACATTGAGGTCTGTCTCAGGTATCACAAAGATGGTCTTCTCTGGTTCCTGGCCTATTCTCCAGAGTTGGTTGTTTTCTTTTTATATATATGTACACACACACACACACACACACACATATATTCACATACATTATATATATACACATTCATATGTGTGTATGTATGTATATGAACACACACACATACGAATAATATAACCATCTTGTTCTCTGACAGCTTGAGAAGTCTTATATGAGGGTGAGTAGGACAGGTGCCTTGAAAACACAGGATCTTGAAGCTGGGGTGGCTCTATCCATCAGAGGAATTGAGGCTCCACCTATTCAAGAGGAACTCCCCAGAGCTGTATGAGAAAGGAGCCCCCCGATCCCCCTGCCATTACTGACCCAAAAGAGCTTCTGCTAGTTCTCTCTCAACAACAACAACAACAACAACAAAAACTATTAGGAATGCTTCCCTCGATCCAGCACAACCTCCTTTGGGGAGAGTTTAGCCCCTAATGCCCAATCCAAGGATGACAAGTATCTGTCCCCTAAGACAAAAGGGCCTTGAGGAGCCATTGGGGAAGAGACTGACAAAGACAGACATAGACTGAATTAGGCACCATCCCCAGCTGTGGACCCACAGGGCCTTATGAAGCTCAACAACAAACATGCGGTCTTCCACGAGCCAGGCAAGCCTAGTGCTGGGGCTGGGCCACCAGAGAATTCTTGCTGGGAATGGAATCTGGAACAGACTCTATGGTCAACCGTTCTCAGATCAGAGGAAACAGAGGCTTTGGACACCAGCACCAGAGTCTCCATTCTGAGGTTGCCTGAGGACCATGCAGCTTGGGGGACAGACTGGAGAAACCTAGTTATCTTATATTTTTCAGGGAGACTATCTGGCTCACATCAATGCCCCCCTACTTTCAGGGAGCCAGAGAAGACCAGAAGCCCAGCTGCCTGGGAGCTTCTCTTCCCAGCTTCTGGGGAGCAGCTCTGTTGCCGAACAGGGCTGGAAAGCTGTAATTATCCAGACAGGATAAGAGCTATTTTTGGAAGGAGCTGTCCTGCTGCCAAGGCTTTTGACTTCCTAAACTAAAACAAGATGCACAGAAAAAAATGGGTGAGGGTGGGGGAGGACAGGGACGAGCCTTCTCTGTCAAAAACATCAAATCTTGAACGAAGGGAAATAGTGCCCCCTCCCAAAGGTATAGATTTAAATTAAGAGGTAAGCAAGAAGCCAGTTGTTAATATAACTCCCCTGGTTTGGGGAAAGAGGGTGTAACTGAACCCCCTTACCCACCTCTTGCTGACTCCCTCTCTCCTAAGACCCTCCAAGGGTACCTATTCAGTCTGTTCTGTTTATTTTGACATTTGAATACAAACTATTACAAATCGTTATTTAAATGTTTCCTGTCCATATCTTATCTTCCCAACCAGATGGTCAGTTTCTCACTGCCAAAGAATGTTATGTGTGTACTATGAGATTTTTCCCCAATCGTGCCTAGAGTGCTAGGTATCTGAATAAAAATTGTCTATGAAAAGGAAGGAGGGAAGGTTGGAGGGAAGGAGGGAGGGAGGGAAGGAGGGATTTACTGTTTTACATGGAGGCAATCTCTAAAAGTGGCTGCTCCCACCTACAGCTGAGCCCGGGGCTGGTGGTTGGAGGCTGGATAATGGCAGAGGAGGTGGAAGCTGCATTCCTGGATACCTCCCTTTCAGCTGCTTGGTTATCTGAGCTCAAGTTGTCCCCCTCTCATTTGTTTTCTGTCTGTAGTCAACTGTTTGGCCTGGGCAAGCCCGCCCATGGATGGAACCTACTAGAGGTCATTGCTAGGTGTTGGATAAGAGAGGAATATGACAAGAGAAAGAATGAAAACAGGAAGAGCTTTGACCATCTTATCAAACATGGGCCAAGAAGAGCCAAAATACTATGGGAACAAAAAATACACTGCAAAATCAGGACGCTGCCAAATTTAGGACAGAGGACTGCCAAAAGCAGAGTCCACCTTATGCTTTTCCAAATTAAGGACCCAAATAGTGTGTAACCCAGAAAAGTGACCCCTTTCTGGAGTGCCCCTGGCAGGAGAGGAGGGAGTTAGGTGGGGACTAATCCAACACATAACTGCCCTGTCTTCCCACAGAGCACTTGGCAAGATTCATCATCTGCTAAAACGTCTCTGTTCTTTCTCTCCAGGGCTGCAACTAGCTCATATAGCACTTGTGCAGATCTCCCTCTGGGGAGAAGCAGTGCCACAGGTGCACAGCTTGGCAAGTGGAACACAAGCACACTTGTGCAATGGACAAACTACCCAACCATACCAAGCAGCTCTATATCCCTCCACACCCACTTCCTTCAGAGGACTAGAGGAGGACTTGAACAACGGGGTGGGGCACTGGATGGCTGGAAATAACTTCCCAGTGGCATTCTTACCTCTTCATCTGTCATAACAAAGAAGTAGAAGCCAGGCATTCCCAGGGGGCAGCAAGTGGAATCAGACAGTACCAACAGAAGGGGAAAAAGAGAATTTTACTAAAGATGTCCAGTGAGAATAGGCATAACCTGGTCCAAATCCCCACCTATTCCAAGTGGCCCAAATAACAATAGCTAGCATTTACTGAGTGCTCACTGTGGACAAGTTCCATGCTAAGTAGTAAACGCAATAACCTAGAGAAAGCCATTATTTCCACATAACCTGTGGGAAACTGAAGATTGGAGAGGTAAAATAACTTACCCAAGGTCATAGTCTGGAAATAGTAGACCTGGGGCTCAAACCAATAAAACAATCCCAGAATCCATACTTTGTTACCTTCCTGTTTTATAGAGTTTTGCTCCCTCTGAAAGACAGAGCTGCCCTTCTCTATTCTTTGCAATTTATCATTCAGAGGGCTCATTCTGGTTGGGAATGGACTGGATTCCCAGGGCTCTCTCCTCCCCAATAACTTCTTCATCCAGATCCCTGGTGTCTATAGTGTTCATGGGACTGGAACTTATGTTGGGCCACACAATGCTCACAAGCAAGAAGTCCCTGCTGCTAAGATTTACTCTCTGAGGGCTCATCCCCACCCTCCACTGTGACCAGAGAGGCCAAGAATAAAAACTGAAAGGAGAATCCTGAGGTCCTGAGGACACTTATGGCTTCTAGCCTTGGCCACAAAACCCACTGATGACCACAAGGAAAAGGTCCAGACATACATGGAAACCCTTTCTGGGCAACAGCTATTATATGCCCAGGTCATAGTATTGGGGATTGAGGAGGGTCAAGGAGCCAGATACACACATGAATTAGTCTGGAGACAGCTCTGAAGAAGACTATGAAGCAGGGAGTTTGCTTTGGTGTTTTGTTTTTTTTTTTTAAAGGACATGATAAGTAGGACCAGGTAAGCCAAAAAGCTATGAGGCTTAAATCATTCTTCATTCCTACAGTGACTTCTCATTAAGAGGAGAATCTTGAAAATGAAAAAAGTTCCAGTTCCCAAAGGGATGGCTCTAGTGGTGAAATTATAGGCAAGACAAGTTGTTCCTCTGCTCCTTTAGGTCAAAACCCCAGCAGGGACTCTACTAAAAGACCAAGCTCTATAATAGAATAAAAAGGCCACCCTCTGCTCCTCAACGTCTCACAATGAACCCATAGGAAGGAAAAGCACAGACCTCTTAGCCACCAGATGATTCGATTCTGCATTTCCTCAGAGACATCTGAAAATAACAGACTGATTATTGCTTTCTTCTGTCTGTGGGATGACACCCCTCCCCCCCATTACATCATCTACCTTTCTAGTTCCTTATGTCTTCACCCAAAGGTGCCCTCAGCCCTCCACTCTCTCCAAGAGTTCCTCCCACTTAGGCCCAAATATCATATTCCCCTTTCCCTCTCCCTTCCTTCCACCCTCCTTCTTCACCACCATTAATGTCTTTCCCCTCCTGTAAGCCCAAGTCTCAAGTCATCTGTGCCCCACCTACTCCACATTGATGCCAGAACATTTACCTGCGGCCCTTATTCTTTTCAACAGCCCTTACCAGCCCTCACCCCAGCTCAGTTCTTCATCTCCACTCTCAGGAATCAGCTTCCGATCCTGCAAACCACTCTCTACTACCTTCCATTGAAAAGTTAAGCAGCATTGCCTGGAAGAGTCAATGCCTGACGCCAGGCCCAAGCATCATCATCGAGGTCATTAACTTGGAGCTCAGAGAAGCTGGCAGAAAAGTCATGGAGCATTGGGCTCAAAGATGGAACTAGATTTGACACTGGCCGGAGGGCAGCCCTGAGGCCCGAAATGAAGAGGGGGGCCTTTCCTGCCCACCCCAATGTCCCATCTCACTAAATTGGGGCTGCACTTGGGCAGTATGCTTCTTCACATACCCAGGAAGAAAGCATTAAACCTTTGAATGGGTTGTTTGATGGTGTGCTTGGGGGCCTGAGGCACTTCCCTCAATGGTACCCGACCTGGAGACTCCTTTGGTGATGGTGGTGATGGTGGACTTGCCTTCTCTCTCTGGAACATCAGGTCCTCATAGAAAGGGCTTGAGTCCATTTCAAAAAGGGACACTAAAGGGTCTAGGGGAGGAGGAGACTTAGGCTCAAAATCAGGTGTTGTCGGCCGGCTTTGGGGTATTTCAACTTCAGGATTCAGTAAGGCCCACCATGAGGAGTCAGGCCCATACCTAGGTAAGGACCGAGGGGGTAAGGGCCGAGGGGTCAGTTCCACTTCTGCATGGATGGAGGGCTTTCGGGAGGGTTCTTGATACCTGAGTGCAGGTCCTGGGGACACGTAGATAGTTTCTGGGGGCCTTTGCATTTGCTGCTTATGGACGGGCTCTGGAGTGACAAAGACGAGAGATTTGTGGGGGCCCTCAGACCCTGCTCGAGATGTCACACGCTGAGTTGACTGTCTTTGTGGAGAGATGGTGGCCTTGCGGCTGATCTCACGGCCAACCTCGCTGTCTCGGATTGGGGACCTCATGTTGGACTCCACCTCTGATGACATTATGACCTTTGGAGAATGCTTGGTCTCGGTGTAGGCAGGATGCTTGTAGAGAGTCTCAGGAGCTGAATGTGCTGCTCGGTGTCCACCATCTAAATCTTTAAGGACAGAGAGTTTGAGGGATGATGCCATTTTCATATTCCTTTGAAAGGCCTTGGGTTCTGAAGGAGTTGAGCTGTGATGATCCACTTCTGGCTCTGGGCTAGTGAGCCTTCTATGGACTGTCCGATGGTCTACCATACGGCTGTGGCCATGCTCTGGGCTAGAGGGACGCTTTGGAGGTCTGACCTCACCAACACTCAAAATCTTTCGAGTGGTCTCTGTTTGTATTGCTTCATCCTTTGGATAGGCTGAAATCCTACGAGGAACTCTGACCCCTTGAGGATTCTGGACCTTGGAAGGTGGGTCTTCTTGCAAGTTATGTAATTGCAAGTTATCCTTCTGGTCCATAAAACTCAAGCGACGGGTGGACTTGGCATCGGGGGGTGAGATACGATGGCCAACTTCACGCCCTGGCTTGCTTTCACCACTTCTTCGCATTGCTTCCTCTCTGACTGGACTAAGGTGCCGATGTACACTTGTAGAATGGGAAGCCGGTGTCTGAACTTGCTGGTTCTTTCGATGAGGAGAGTGATGGCGGTGTGCCTCTGTTTTTGTTCGGGTCTCAGTTCCCCGATGGAATTGTGCTGTAGAGTGGACATGCCCTGAATGTGGGGACACAAATCGAGAGTAGTCTGATGCTGAATGGGGAGTAGTGGGAAGTGCAGCTTCTAATTTTTGCTGGGGAGAAGGATTCAAAGAGACAGCAGCACTTCGGTGGCTTGAGGAAAGAAGGTACCCATGTCCCCGATGAGGGGTGGAAGTAGTAACCTCAGCCCCTTTATGTGCTGAAACTGCTACCTTGGACCCAGTTTTATTTGTCTTGACCACCTGAAAGACTGTGCCCTTCTGGGTAGATGCCATATTTTATCGCTGGCTTGTCTTCAGGATCCTAATGAAGCCTGAATATTTACCCTCATTTTTAAAAAGCTGCTGTTCTTGGACTCCCACAAAAGTGGCTGTTGTTCTGTGTGTCTCAAATAGTCCCCTTAGCTACCTTTCTGTCTGATGATGTCATAAAGGAAGAAGCTTCCTATTAAACATCCTGTTGTACATAATTCTTTAGAGAAACCCAAACAGTACCTGAAAGAAAACTGAATTTATCTTTGGACTTGACACTACCAAACCTTTGGCCAGGTTCTTAACAAAATCTGGATTTCTTTGTATATAGAGGTTTTCTTACTGTCTCTAGGTTCCAAGAATTTTCAGAACTCAGCCAGAGAAATCAGCTTGAAGAGTTATGAAAGCAAGGCTACTCAAATCAATCATGCTGTGTTAGTCCCAGATTTAATAAGGTATGTTATATTGTACAAAGTTGCCCAATTTTATTTGAAACCACACTGTATGTTAAAGTCAAAATGTAGACCTCCAAGTCACATGTGGCAGCTCATGCCTGTAATCCAGCGACCCAGGAGGCTGAAATGAGGATCACAAGATCAGCCTATGCAACTTAGTAAGACCCTTGTCTCAAAATTTAAACATGACAAGGGCTGGGAATTTAGCTCAGTGGTATAGTATTCCTGGGTTTGATCCCCAGTATATTTCCCCCCAATACTCAAAGATAAAGCTCCAGCAATTTCCAGGTTTCACGGGTGTTTCAGTTGACTCTGGGTTAAAAATCTAGGTTACTCAAGTCTCATATTATTGGTCCTTAGTAGAAGGGATCTGGGTTTAGTATCAGTTTCAATTATAAATGACTAATTGTATACCTTGGACAAGTTACCTGACTTACCTGAGTCTTAGTTTCTTCATCTGGAAACCACTTCCTGGTATGTAGGTGACACACAATAAATGTTTGGGTCCTTTCTCATGATCCTCTCCTGTCAGCAATCCAATCAGCTGGACTTTGGTTCCTCTTGATTAGAGAGTGACTTTCCAATGTGGAGGACTATTCTGGATAAGTTTGTTGTCTTTCTCTCGCTTTTATAGGTCCCTTACTTCTCTTTTGGACATAGACCCTATCATATCCAACATTTCTGATATTTACTCAAAAGGGTTATCAAGGTAATTAGTGGTCCACTTCATTTTCTGTGCTCTATACTGACCATTCTCTTCTGTTAAATATTTTTCTTCTAATGAGTTATAAAATTGTTCATTACTAATTATAACATTATAGTCTTCTTTCCCATTGATTTTAGTTTTAAGAATTCCTAAACCTTTTTTTCTCCCCTAAATTCAAAGTTTTTTGTAGAAGGAATTGCAAAAAATGAAATCACCCAAAGAACCACTTTACTATTTCTTTCTCTCTCTTTTTTTTTTTTTTTTTTTTTTTACCTGAGATTAAACCCAGGTGTGCTTAACCACTGAGCAACATCCCCAGCCCTTTTTATATTTTATTTGAACTTAGGCTCTTGCTAAGTTGCTTAGGCTAGCTTTGAATTTGTGATCCTCCTGCCTCAGCCTCCTGAGCTGGTGGGATTACAGGTATGTGCCACTGTGCCCAGCCCACTTTACTATCTTTTTTATATTTTTTAGATGTTGATGGACCTTTATTTTGTTAATTTATTTATATGTGGTACTGAGAATTGAACCCAGTGCCTCACACATGCTAGGCAAGTGCTTTACCACTTAGCTATAACCCCAGCCCCCAGTTTACTATTTTTTTTTAAAGAGAGAGATGAGAGAGAGAGAATTTTAATATTTATTTATTTTAGTTCTCAGTGGACACAACATCTTTGTTTTTATATGTGGTGCTGAGGATCGAACCCCGGCCGCTCGCATGCCAGGCGAGCGCGCTACCGCTTGAGCCACACCCCAGCCCCCCCAGTTTACTATTTTAATAAGCATCTTTCCATATATCTTTCTATACACTTCCATATGTAGATATTTATCTACAAATTTATAGGGCCCTATTATATCTACTAGCATAGTACTAGTAGCATTATTCCATAAAGTTGTTGATAAATTCATTCTATTATTTTTTTTTTTGTAGTTGGACCCAATACCCTTATTTTATTTACTTATTTTTATGTAGTGCTGAGGTTTGAACCCAGGGCCTCGTGCATGTTAGGCAAGTGCTCTACCACTGAGCCACAACTTCAGCCCCTCTATTATTTTTTTAAACCAACCTTTTATTGCTGGGCACTTGGTTTGTTTCCAGTTTTTCAAAATTATAAACAACACTGAATATAAACATCCTTTAATGTAATTGTATCTTTTTCTCCTTAGGACAATAGTTCTTTATCCTAGAGCGAGATGTGGTGGCACATGCCTGTAATCCCAGTGGCTCAGGAGGCTGAGGATCTTGAGTTCAGAGCTAGCCTCAGTAATTTATCAAGGCCCTAAGCAACTCAGTGAGACCTTGTCTCTAAATAAAATAAAAAATAACTGGGGATGTGGCTCAGTAGTTAAGTCCCCCTGAGTTTAATCTCTGGTTCCAAAAATCTTTATCCTGGCCTCTCCTGAAGAGTTTTTTGTATACCTTTTTTTTTAGTTGAATGGACCTTTATTTATTTATTTATTTATTTATGGTTCTGAGAATTAAACCCAGTGTCTCACACATACAAGGCAAGTACTCTACCACTGAGCAATAACCTCAGTCCTCCTGAAGAGCTTTTAAAGGCCCCTTTTCTAATTCTACTGAAATAAATCAGATGGTGGTAAGCCTGAGCATCAGTATTTGTTAAAAATGCCTCAGATAATTCTATGTACAATTATGGTTAAAGACCATTGTTTTAAGATAAAGACCTCTGAATTCTATTCAGGTGGTGCATGGTGCCCAAGTGTACCACCTGGGAGAGTGGCAGACAAGCAAAAGCTTGGACATCACCTCAGACCTCAATTCCAGAATATACATTTATTTATTTATTTATTTACTTACTTACTTAATTTATGCCAATGATAGAAACCATGGCACTATACCACTGAGCTACATTCTCAGCCCTTTTCATTTTTTTTTGAGACAGGGTCTTGCTTAGGTTGCCCAGGCTTAAAACTCATTGAACCCCATCCCTATCTCTTCATCTATTCTGTGGTTTTAACCTATTTATTGTCTTCACAGCATGAGTTCAAACCTGTGATCCTCCTGCCTCAGCCTCCTGAGTGGCTAGAATTACAGACATGCAACAAAATCCATATTTTAACAAGATTTCCAGATGATTCATCTGTAAAATAAAATTTGTGAAGTGCTGGTCTAAATGGTATTTCTAGATCAAAAACCATTCACATTTAAAATACATACTCAAAAATCTCTCTGTAGATAAGTGGCACCAATTCATATCCCCAACACAGATGCTTGATTCCCCACTCTCCCACCAAACTTAGATCTTACCAATATTTTTCCTCTTTAGTTATCTTATTTTAATTTACATTTTTGATTATCAGTGAAACTAGACATCTTTTAATATGCTAACTGGTTACTTGTTATGCTTCTTTTTTAAAAAATATTTTTATTAGTTGTTGATGGCCCCCATTTTACTTGTTTATTTATAATGCAGTGCTGAGATTCTAACCCAGTGCCTCACACATGCTAGGCAAGTGCTCTACCACTGAGCCACAACCCCATGCCCTTTGTTATGCTTCTTTTCTGAATTGCTCTTTACATGTTTTTCCATTAAGGTGTTTGTCTTTTTCTTAGAAGCTATTAGATCTCTTTGGATATTAGGAATATAAACCTTTTAGTCATACAATATATTGCAACTCTATCATTTGTTGACTTTATCTTCATTCAGCCATTATTTTATATTTTTTAATTAATTAATTTTGTAGTTGTAGATGGACAGAATGCCTTATTTTGTTATTTTTATGTGGTGCTGAGGATTGAACCCAGTGCCTCACACATGCTAGGCAAGTTCTCTGCCACTGAGCTACAGCCCCAGCCCTTACATTTTTAAAAAATCTATTTTTTTAGTTGTAGGTGGACACAATACCTTTATTTTTAATTTTTTTAGTTGTCAATGGACTTTTATTTATATGTGGTGCTGAGACTTGAACCCAGTGCCTCACACATGCTAGGCAAGTGCTCTACCACTGAGCCACAACCCCAGCCCCCAATACCTTTATTTTTATGTGGTACTGAGGATTGAACCCAGTGCCTCTCGCTCACTAGGTGAGCACTCTACCACTAAGCCCACCACCCCAGCCCCAAATTTTACATTTTTATATAGTAAAATTCAAAAATCTCTTCACTTTGAACCCACTCTAAGATTAATAAAATTGTCACATATTTCTTAATGTTTATGTATTTATTTTTAATTAAAAATTTTTATTAATCAGACATTTTTTTTGGTACAAGGACTTAGCTTTTATGTTTTTCCAAATGTTTGGTCAGATATTCCATTATCATTTGTTAAATTATCTAATTTGATACAGATTATTTCATATTCTAAATTCCCAAAACTTTATACTTTAGTTCTTTCTTTGGACTCTTTTTATATTCTATAAATATTCATTTCTATGTTGATGCCATACTGTTAATTATTGAACTTTACACTATTCTTAAGTATGTAGTAGTATAAATCCCTACTCTTGCTTTTCAGTATTGCTTCCATCAAACATTTATAAACTCCTTTTCATTTATAAACTCCTATTCCACTATTGCCCTATTCTATTTAATATTTAATGTGGCTATAACAAAGTATGAAAGCCTTAGTACTGTATGAAGATAACAGATTTATTTAGCTTTCAGTTCTGTTAATCCAAGAGGATGGTGCTGCTGGGCTGGGGATGTGGCTCAGGCAGTAGCGCGCTCGTCTTGCATGCGTGTGGCCCAGGTTTGATCCTCAGCACCACATACCAACAAAGATGTTGTGTCTGCCGAGAACTAAAAAATAAATATTAAAAATTCTGTCTCTCTCTCCTCTCTCACTCTCTTAAAAAAAAAAAAAAGAGGATGGTGCTGGCATCAGCTTCTGGTGAGAGCAGATAGTGTCATGTGTCTGGTGAGAGCACATGTGAGGGGGATCGGTGTTAGATGACAAGAGAGAAAGCAAGAAGGCTAGCCAAGAAAGCTAAATTCACTTTATATATCAAAACCTACTCCAGCAGTAACCAATCTAGACTCATAACACCTACCCCACTTCAGGACACAAATTGGTGCCCTTAAGGGCCTACTTTACTAGGTTCCACCACTTCTCAATACTATTACATTAAGGAACAAGCCTCCAGCACATGAAACACATGAAATTTTGGGGAACAAATCATATCCAAGAATAGCAACTATACAATTAACAGTCTTAAGTTAGAGAGTGGGGTTTGCTTACTTAACTTCCACAGGACCATCTTATTTCTAAGCTCTTTCTTGGGGATACCTCACTATAACCCACTTTTAACACCAACATATATGAGTAAAAAACAAATCTGAAATGTCCTAATAATCCTAGTTTTCCAAGGGTGCTTCAGTGATTTAATTCAGTAGTTAGCCAATGTTTATTTTTTCTTTGCTTAAGCAAGGTTGCTTATTATTTTTCTAGTAAGCCAATCTTTATCTACTGTGTGTCTGGAACTTGTTACATGTCTGCTTTCCCATCTTGAGGAAAAGTGAAGAACTCAGTATGTTACAAAAACTCAGCATCAAACTCACAGAATAGATGAGGAGATAGGAATGGGGCTTAAAGAGTTTTAGTCTGAATTTAGCTCTTATTTAACTTTCATAATCATACTTTGAACTCCAATCATGGAAGACTACCGTTTAAGAATACAAAATATGTTTGCTCCAGTATGATCCTGGGTAGGTCATGGGAATTTAAGAAGCCTCCCCTAGAATAATAACTTTTAGTGGTGTTATGAAGATTAAAAATAATTGTCCAGTTAACAAATATTTGCTGAGCACCTAATATATGTAAGTGGCAATAACTCAGTGAACAACTTAGACATAATTCCTGGCCTTATGGAATATGGTCTATGTGTGGGTTGGGAAAAGGCAGGCAGGCTACTAAGAAAGAATTTCAGAGGTCCCTAACCTAGACTAAGCTTCAGGGACTTTAGAAAATCTCTTTAAAAAAGTAAAGTGAAAGCTAAAACCAAACAATGAAGTAGTTAGTTGAGGAGAGGCATATTCTAGTCAAGAATAACATGTGCCATATATTTGAAGAATTGAGAAAAGTTTAATATTTCTAGAAGCAATGGGCAAAGTTCTGGACAAGGAAATGAAACGACTATCTTTGTACATAAAAATATCATTTTGCAAATAAAAATAAATGAAAAGATTGTTTTGGAGAAAAAAATTAGAGTACGAAAAAAAGTTTTAAAAATGCTTTTACCCTACTTCCTATCCCCTGGCTTTGAACCTTCCACTGGATTTCCATGTTTGGCCATAGTTTTATAATCCCCTTGCTCAGTTTCCATCCTCACTTCCTTCCAGTCAACTCCCTTGTTGGGAACAACTTACCTTTAGAGTTGTAAGACTGGCTCTTTTCTCATGATTTAACCAAAGCCCAAATATCCCTTCTTTAGAATAGTTTCACCTGAACACCTGACCTGATGTTAAGTTGCCTCCCCTCCAGCATTTACTACTACTTTTAACCTATTTATTGTCTTTATAGCATTAGTTCAATATTGGGTATATCAGTAAGATACCTGAAGTATAAGAGATAAGGTAGCTCATAATAGAGGTCTGGTCGTACAATTAAAATACAAATCTGAAATTGTTAGTCCATAGGTGCTAACTGAAATCATGGGAATAAACTATGTTGCTTAGGAGGAAAACTTGCAGTAAGAAAAGACAAAGGCAGAGCCTGTAAAGGAGGGTGAGGTGAGGCAACCAGAGAGAGAGAGAGAGAGAGAGAGAGAGAGAGAGAGAGAGAGAGAGAGAAGAAATAACAGTGTGCAACATCAAGGAAGCTGAGAGGATAGACTGAAAGAGAAACTGACAATGGGGTCAAAGTGACTGAGGAATTTAGGAATATGGAAGTCATCAGTGACCTTAGTGACTGCTAGAGAATGGAAGGAGTAGAATTCGAGTGGGTTGAGAAGAGTGGGAGGTGAGGTACTAAAGATAGCAGATGTAGACAAGAATGTTTCAAGAATTGCTGTGGGAGGAGAAGGATGGTATAGTAGGTAGAAGGGAAGGTGGGATCCAGGGAACACTTTTTTAAAGATAGGAAAATCTAAGTGTGTTAATGCTTATGAAAAGAAGCTAATAAAGAAGAAAGATTGAAGCTACTAAAAAGAGAAATGCTAACCTCAGAAGGAAAACCCTGAGTGGATAGAAGATGAGATTGACCTAAGGATAGGAAGAGGGACACAGCCTTTATTAAAACAGGGAGGAGAGTGGAAAGAATATGTACAGTCCAGTATTGACTGCTTTACCTACAACAACTTCTGTTCTACAGGGATATAGGTAATTATGTTTGGAGTTTTGGTGGCTGGAAGCTGAGTTAACTCCCACCTGAGGGCTTATATTTTCTCTGAAGTCATCTGTTGAGTATTGATAGGAAGTAAGAGATGACAGTTTGAAATAGCTGATGAGTGAAAGAAACAGTGGGACTCCCATGTGCAGGAAAATTGATTAATATAAACAAAGCAACTGGTATATAATAATTGCTCTATAACCAATAAATAATATCTATCAACATTATGATTACTAATACTGACCACTATTTTTTACAGTCACAGGCCAAATAAAATAATTTTCTGTGTGGACAGATTACAACCCTTATTACAGGGAGTTGGTGTAGGACCTATATCCTTGATGCATATTAACAGATAATAACATAAGTCACCATTTATCATTGTATATCTGCTATTAGACCTTATATTTTTACTTACGTTGGTTCTGTCTCATCAATTATAATAAGTTGTTTGAAAGACTATGTATTATAAATATCTGTATTTCTCAAAAGTATTATTTATAAATGAATTTGTTTTCTGGTGGTTTTCTGCTGGATACAATGGCAAGGAACTGTTTTCTTGCTATAAAATAGCCAAACAGACTTCTTTCTACCTTCCCATTTTATCTGTGCAGGGCAAATTTTCTGGGCACTACTCACAATAGGAACTATTCAGTTTTCACAAACAACAGGCCTGCTACTTACTCACCAAGGCAGAACAAAATGCTAGCTGGTAAGTGCTGCAGTGTAGCACATAGTTTCCAAGAGAGGGTTTCTATTCATATATGAAGATTCCAAATGGGAGGTAATGAAAGATATAAACCCTCTAAAAATCAGGCTAGCTACATATAGGCCAGGAATCAAAAGAGGCTAAGCTAAACAAAATGTTGTGATTAGTATTACCACAATTTCATTCTTGTAGTACACTAATGATGTGATTCACAATCAAAAACACATGGAGAAGATGTTGTTTACCTTGAACAGTTCAAAAAATCTTAGCATTTTATTGTTATCTCTTACTAAGTTACTTCTAGCTGGAATGGGAATAGGGCAATCCCAGCCAAAAGGTTGGGCAGTATTTCTATGATAAAACAGGGACAACTGGTACCAGCATATATGAAGGTAGCTGCCCATGTGCCAAACCCTGTAACAGAAATTGAAGGTTTTTGAATAGAAGTTCCTTTCCCCACCCCCCACCCCCAATTCTTAAACACAGAAATATAGCTGGAACCTAAATGATATTGAAAATAAACATTTTATTATATAACAGGAGTTAAAATATTCAAAAAAATTAACACCAACAAAACCAAAAACCATTCTGAGCACAATGAGAAAATTTTAAAACTGCAACTACCTTACACTTTTCAGAAATTTGATTGAAAAACAAATGGTTACATATGCTGCGCACAGATGGGGCCAAACCATTATGTCTACTGTAGCAGCTGAACAAATTGTGAGTTAAGGAACTGGAACCACTGCCCCAATGGCACTGCAGCAGAAGAAAGAAGAGCTCACAACCAAGATGCTCAAACTTGGGTCAGAATCCATCTGTGATCCATTTCCAGTCAATCTGACAAGTCACTCTGATCCAGCACAATTATCCTGTGTTTACGTGTTTTAAAAGACAAAAAGAAAAAAAGTTTCCAGTTGATATATATGCTTTTTATTATTATTGTTTTTGTTTTTATTTTTTGTGTGGTGCTGGGAATTGAACTCGGATCCTGATACATGCTAGGTAAGTGCTCTAACACCGAGTTACATCCCCAAGCATCTCAAATGCTTTATTTGAGACAGGCTAGCCTTGAGCTTGTGACCCTCCTGCTTCAGCCTCCTAAATCACTGGTATTACAGATGTGCACCACTGTGCCCTTCCCAATACAGACTTTTTTTTATGGACACAATATATTTTTATGTGGTAGTAAGGATCAAACCCAGTGCCTCACATGTGCAAGGCAAGCACTCTAACACTGAACTACAGTCCCAACCTACATACATTTTTTCAAAAGATACAAACAACATCCTCTTTCTGTTCTACTGAATTTAAGGAAAAGGGATTTTGATATTTCTCTTTTTTTAATATTTATTTTTCAGTTTTTGGTGGATACAACATCTTTATTTTCATGTGGTGCTGAGGATCGAAACCAGCGCCCCAAGCATGCCAGATGAGCGTGTTACCGCTTGAGCCACATCCCCAGCCCAGGGGTTTTGATATTTGTAATCAAGGGATATTATGATCAGCAACATATAATGGAAATGCAAAAATGATGCAAAGCAATTGACAGCAGCAACTTATGTATACTTTCTGTATGAAAAGTATTCTCAGGCTGCTTCTACTACTTATTTAAATAAAGTTAGAATTAATTTCACCTTTTTTAATAAACAGAAACATGTATCTAAAAACTGAGCAACTTTGTCTTTTTTTATTTTATTTTTTTGTGGTTGTAAATGAACAGAATGCCTTTATTTTTATGTGGTGCTGAGGATCGAACCCAGTGCCTCACCCATGCCAGGCAAACATTCTGCCACTGATCTACAGCCCCAACCCCGTGCAACTTGGTCTTAATTCAAGTCTTTGTCATTAATGTTTATTTAGAAACCAGTGAATATTTCAATTTTCTTATGTAAATGGTAAACTTTAACCTATAAACACAGGATATTTCATTACCTGGATGGTTCAGACCAACCCAGTCGCTTCCAAAAACACGGTTTTAGTTCATCTTGGTGAAATATAAGAGGAAGAAAAAAACAACCTGATTACTTTCTAGGTCAAAGAGTGTCAGAATTCAGAATTCACATTAGTGATCTCTCTAGTTTAGTGTAAACTGTTTTACCTACAACAGTTGTTCTATAGAGGCAGAATGGTTAATGGCTTTCCCTCCTAATATTCTGCAGTTCTTTGCCACAGCAATGGATACCAATGACACTAATTCGCAAATACTAACTAAAAGCCCATACAGTTTAGTCAAGGTTCTGCAGGAAACAAAATGTACCCATGACAAATACAGATAAAGATTATTTAATGAAGTAACTACATAAAAAAAGGAATGGCAAGGCATTCGGTGACTAGCAGCAATGGGAAACCTCGGTCTGAAGGGACTGAGGAATGGGGATGAGAGGACAGCTGGAACTGGGAAAGACTGGCTGCCTCATAGAAGCTGTGCTTGTGAAGGAACACCACTTCTGTCAGATGCAAGGTGTTGAAAAAGGCAGGGAGGGAAAGTAACCCCTTAACATCGCTTCTGCCCTCTGCTCTTTTGCCAGGGCCTCCCACTGGCCAACAGGAAGCTAGGGAGAGGCAGTCCACTAGAGTCAGCATCCCGGGACACAAAGCAAGGTAGAAAAATTAAATGAGAAAAGGATGAAAGGGATACCATATGACCTGAAAGAGTTAAATAAAAACATTATTTTTTTAGGTGTAGATGGACACAACACAATGCCTTTATGTGGTGCTGAGGATCGAACCTGGTCCCGCCCATGCTAGGGGAGCTCTCTACTGCTGAGCCACAATCCCAAACCAGAGTTAATGTCTCTTAAACAGGAGATTGTTGTGTGTAAATAGCCTAAAGCTCTATTAAAACAGTTTTGAAATTAAAGTTAATTTATGACTTTTTCATTACTTGTAAACCTCATTTAAATTCCATAATGTATGACTTCTTACTGGAGTCTGGAGCATCCATGTAAGCTAAATTTAAAATTCTTTTGAAGATGTTGGACAACTAGAAGCAAAACATCTCTCCAGACAATGAGATTAGCCAATGTTTTTTTTTTTAAGAAATATAACTTGATGTTGTTACTGTTTTTGTGATGAAACTATGATCAGCAATTAACAGAAAACCTACACTGAACTGCAAGGGTAAAGAAATTATCAAAGGAAGGAAGATTGTGTATAACATTTGGGAAACATTATTTAATAACTTTGATGCTCATCAAAGCCTAAGGACTGCAGACTGCATTATAAACAATCATTAATTCATACCTTCTTCTGAAGCCCCTAAAAAGCTGTCTGATTTCCTTCTCTCTGGCTTGATGCTTTTTTCCCTTTTTCTATGCTTTTCACCAACTTCTTGATCATTGGTTGCTTTCTCCCTTTAAGAACAATGATTTAGGGCATTAAACCACATACAGCCAGGGGCAGGACTGTACTCTGAAGGAAACATAGCAATTAGGAGTATCACAGTGTTCTCTTTGGGCCAGGTGTTGGTTTAAGAGCTCTAATGTACCATTAACTCACTTAATTCTCTTAATTCTCTTAACTATATGAAGTAGTTACCTCCAATGCCCCCATTGTGATAAGGAAACTGAGGCACAAAGATATTACATACCTGCTAAGTCCTAGAGCTGGGATCTGACCTAGACAGCCAACCTAATCAGACTCTGCTTTTCACCACTAGACAATATAGCTGGCCTCAAAGGGGGGAAAAAAAACCCTCATTTTATGTCATAATTGGTTTGAAAAAGACCACCATTTGATCAACTTCCTCTGATATGAAATGTCTAAATAATTTGACTGTCTTACAGTTTAAGAACAAATTTGTTAAACTTTTAAGCAGAAACCCCCATTCAACAATAAGCTCCTTAAAGGTAGAGTCATCGATCCCCCTGTGCACCTCCTGCCTTAGCACAGTGTTTAGCTCATTGTCAATGCTCAAGAGATGCTGGCTGAACCTAACACTATTTAGGGATTCTTTTTCTGCTTTCATTTCATGGACAGTAAAAACAAAATATGTAAAATGAGAAGGGCTGGGGATATAACTCAGTGCTTGCCTAACATGAGTAAGGCCCTAGGTTCAATCCCCAGCACTGCAAAAAAGAGAGAGAGAGAGAGAGAGAGAGAGAGAGAGAGAGAATATGAATGAGGATTAAACAGAAAGGGTGAAAAAGAGACTTTTTTCCTCTCTTAACTTCCACTAACAGAATCACAGGGTCAGAGGTGAGGAGGGGCTGGGGCTGTAGCTTAGTGGTAGAGTAGCTGGGGGGTAGAGCACTTGCTTAGAATGCATAAGGTGCTGGGTTTGATCCTCAGCACCGGATAAAAACAAAACAACAAAAAAAGGCATTCTGCCTATCTATAATTTTTAAAAAAAAGAAAAATAAATAAAATAAAGGTATTGTGTCCATCTACAACTAAAAAATATTTTAAAAGAGTGGGAGGAGGTGTTTGAGTTTTCTTCTGCCTATGTCCAAATGCCCCAGATCAGAGTTTCATCCAGTCTCTTCTGAGTAGCAGTAGCCATTGTTGAAGTAACTGGAAAGCCAGCTGCTCTCCCTATCCAGTAGCTGTGACCACTAGAAAGTCTGTGCTTTACTGAATACAAATCAGTTACTCTGTAATTTCTAGTCACTATTTCTGTCCTTTGGGGCAAAAGAGAGTAAGCTGACTCTCTTCACTTTACAGTATTTCAGGTATTTGAGGGAAGATATCAAATTCTCCACTCCATCTGCTCTTCTCAGGCTAAGCCTCCCCAGCTCCTTCAGCTGTTCTCATATGACCTGGTTTGCAGACCTGTGACTGTCCTGTGGTTACCCTATTCTGTTTATTAATATCTCTTAAAATGTGGCACTAAAAAGTAGTCTCACATTGCACCCTAGGAGTGCTCTAAACAGCACATTACCGGTCTCACACATCACCTTGATCTATCAATACATTTCTGTCTATACAGCACTAATGTTGCATTGACCTTTTCAACAACTGCATCAACCTGAGCTTCAGAGAGTCATGTCCATGCCTTCAAGAATTTATTGAATTGTTATTATGTCTCAAGCTGCATGCTAAGTGCTTGGTATACAAAACTAAGAATTCCTGCCATTAATGTAACTATAGTGAGTAAGAATTTCCAATTAAAATTTTTTTTCAGGCCAAGTGTCCTAGGAGTAGTCTATGTTTTTGAATCTTTTACCTTCATCTTTTTTTTTTTTTAAGATGCCCAGACTGGCCTTGAACTCCTGGGTTCAAGAGATCCTCCCTATTCTGCCTCCTGAGTAGCTGTGACTATAGGCATGCACCATTGTGTTTGGCTTTATCTTTTTTTTTTTTATTTTTTGGTACCAGGGATTGAACTAGGGGTACTCAACCACAGAGCCACATCCCCAGCCTTATTTTATGTTTTATGTAGAGGCAGGGTCTCACTGAGTTGTTTAGCACCTTGCTGTTGCTGAGGCTGTCTTTGAACTTGAGATTCTCCTGTCCTAACCTCAAGAGCTGCTGGGATTACAGGCACGAGCCACCATACCCTGCTATCTTTATCTGTCAATACCATTTTGAATCCCCAGTCTATCATCCATCACATTAGCACTCATTCCTAGATTTGTTATCTAAATATTTGATAAATATGCCTTTTCTGATATAATTTAAATGACTGATGAAAAGGTTGAAATCAGCAGGGCCTAAATACAGTAATCTTAGAGGCCTCTCCTATACTGATATCAATTTGCTAATCAATATCTTGAGCACTGTGGGTGACTGGAGGGAGAGAGACAAGTGTGAGAATGCAGACACTTGGAGTCAGGGCTGGCTTATCTACAGCAGTTTAATGCTATTACCAGACATTCATTCTCCAAGAAGTCTAAAACCTAGCCCCATTTCCTCAAAAAGAAGAAAATAAGGAGTCTAATACCTCTATGCCTTAGGAATTATATAAATTTTATGTAAGGAAAAAAGAAGAACCCCCAATGGGGAATACTAACCTTGTAGAGCCTTTGCGGGGGTCCTGCTGCTCCATGCTCTCCTCAGATGGCTGAAACCATCTTTCTAGATCTTCATCAAGAGTAGAATGAGCTCTATCCAAGGGAAAGTGAAGAGAATGGTGACAATAGTCTTTTTCCTTCTCCCTTGACAAGGAAACTTAACACTCTATAGAGTGGCAAGAAACTTTAAAACTGTGCTTTCTCTATACAGTTGGGGAAATGTAAGTTTGGTCAGACTGTATGTAGACTCACAGAGGTCACATAGATCTAATTTAAATGTATACAAAATAGTCCCATAGTCCTTTGACAAAAAGCCATGGCATCCATGATATTACTGCTTCCCAATGTCAAATGCTGACTCTTGTCTCAATCTAGGTCATTAAGTCAGTTTCTACCTAGGTCAAGATTGCATATACTTTCTATTTATTTTTCTAAGAACTACCTCTGAGGCTAGAAGATGAAAATAGGGTGTTTTAAGAAAGCCTGAAAAATATCGCGCCCCCCCCTCCCCGTCAAAAAAATATCTTCCACTCTAGCTTGGTCCCTAGAACTGACAAACCATTCATAGCACTGAAATGTCTGAGCATCTTTGGAGCATGTCTGTGGTAAGTACTGCCACCAGTTCTTTTGGAAAAGGATGAGACAATAACATTAGCTAATTTTTGACCATGTACAAAGAATTTTATGTTTGAATAGCCAAACCTAACTTGGTCTTCTTAAACAATTATTCTTTTACTTTAAATTATGGCACAGATTTTTAATGACAGCATTTTTGGGGAGATAGAAGGAACAGTTATATCACAGATAAAAATTTTCTAAAACATCCCTTGAAAAAAAAATTTCCCCTTCTTGCTTCTTTCTTTTCTCTGTCTTTAACCCTCTCTCTATTTTCTTCTCAGATCCTAGGGCTCCAGTCTCCTCTTCTACTTCCCAGACCTTTCCCCTTCCAGGTCTCTCCTTTTTCCTTCTTATAAAGAATAACATATCCCTTGAAGAATATGACAGACACTAGATTCATTAACCAAAAGCTAGTCAAAACACTCTTATTTGCTGCTGCCTTTTATAGCAGTTGGGATGTTAATTCAATTTCTGGTGTCCCTTGTACCCAATAGGGGTCATGTGTCAGTTTGATCTATTAGACAAAGTGGATGTGGGCTGGGAAGAGTTTCTCGGGAAATTTTGCTTTCCAGATAAAATGAGGCAGAATCAACTAATATATTCCTTTGTCTCACCCGCTTATATCATCTGCCTGGTGTGTGGATAGCTGCCATCTTGCAAATGGGAGTTGACAAGCCAGAAAGAGTTTCAGTTTTGTAAAATGATAAATGTGTGGAGAATTGTTGCATAACAATTTGAGTACAGATGCCCTTGATTTATATTGTAAATACTGTTAAGTTGTAAATACATTTCTTATTTAATACACCTAACCAACCAAACAGCAAGTTGAGCAAGACAGTACACTGTAGAGTATTAGTCATTTACCCTCATGATTGTGAGGATGACTGTGAACTATGGCTTGTTGCTACTGTCTGGAACTCAGAGTATCATACCATATATTGCTATCCCAGGAAAAGATCATAAAGTCATAAAAACATAGGTTGAACCATCATAAGTTGGGACCATATACATGCTTTTTTTAAAAAAAAAAGTTGTATATGGACACAATATCTTTATTTTATTTATTTTTTATATGGAATTGAGAATTGAACCCAGTGCCTCACACGTGCTAGGCAAGTGCTTTACCACTGAGTCACAACC